CATCAATTACCAAAGCTTTCATTCCTGTAAGCGAGCATAAATCTTCAAATGCAGTCGCCACCTAAAATATTATTCTTATATTAGGCCTAATACCATATTTGATAAATTACTTAACAAATTTCGCGTTTTGTTAAAGATGCTTTATCATTTTTAATTTAATCATTTAAATATTTTTATAACAACTGAGAACTCTGTCTTCTTTTCTTAAGGAAATAATGGTATCTATTTTTTTTCCGTTAGACCGGCGTTCATCATCTGCCTTGTCGGAATTACGATCCTTTGCACTTGCCTTTAGACAAGTTTCTCCATACGAAGCACGCCAATATTGTTTAATTTTAGCAAAGAATTCAGAGAGAATGGGCGCTAAAACATTAACTATATATGTTCCCTCAGACATCGGATCGAGAAGCCAATTCACATTTTCAATTAGTTTTATCCTATAATGTTAGTCTCATTAGTCATTCTCATTACATTATTGATAAAGGTCAAGTAATAAATACTCACATGTGACTCACGAATTTCAACGCAAAGACCTTCTCAAATGAAGTAATATGTTGTTCTTTTGTTGTTTTAGTTTCTCTTTAGTGATTTTAATATCACGATCGATAATATTGCCAGAAATATCTTAATATCTTGCTCCATATTGTCTTTCGTTTTTTCATTTTTCCCTTCCTATATCAATACGCATCTGTTCAACGATACTTTCATCTAATGAACTTAAGAAACCGTCCTTAACATTAGAATTGAAAAAAAATAAAATTACGTCATAATATTCTGGCTTCGTTTTCGGTGGATATTTGTCAAGCTAAAATTGTGTCAGACTTTCTCTGATACGAATCCCATTTACAATCCAATCGGTGCTTTTTCCACCAACAATCGTCTGATCCGCAATATCTCTTCAACGTAACGATCGTGCTTCGTCCCCTTGTGGAATGACTATGAAAGGATTCAGTTCCGGACGTTAATAAATGTGAATTGGGAAAGTATCATAGAGTGAATTTCTCCTTCTTCGTCATCTTTTGGAATACAGGTCGGTCTGGTGAATGACATCCTAGTTGAAAGTTCGGTATTTATAGTTCCAGTATTGATAGTCCCAGCATCACTATTAATGATCCCAATTTCCGTGATTGTCGAATTATGTAATGGACTTGTGCTATTTCGCGAT